GCTCTTCCTGTCAGTCAGACATGTCAGTCCTGAGCAGTCCACTCCTGTCACGACCATGGAGACCACTCCTAAGCAGTGCACTATCCCTGTCATATCTATGGAGGCCGTTCTCAAGCTGCCAGAGTCTGCTTCATCCCAGTTCAGAGTCTGCTCACGAGCCCGTCTCAGAGTCTGCTTCATCCCAGCCCAGGAGCCCAGTCCTGAGTCTGTTCCAGAGTCTCTCCCAGGTTCTGCTCCAGAGCCTGTTTCATAGTCCGCTCTGGTACCAGTCCAGGAGCCCATTCCTGAGGACCCAGTTCCTTCAGCCCTGGAGGGCTTTTCAGATTCAGCCCCTGATCCTGTTCCTGCAGCCCCAGAGGGCATTTCAGATTCAGCCCCTGTGCCAGTTTCTGCAGCCCCTGAGAGCATTTCAGATTTAGTCCCTGAGCCAGTTCCTGTAACCCTGGAGGGCGTTTCAGATTTAGCCCCTGTGTCAGTTCCTGTAGCTCTGGAGGGCATTTCAGATTTAGCTGCTGTGCCAGTTCCTGCAATCCTAGAGGGTGTTTCAGATTCAGCTCCTGAGACAGTGCCTGCAGCCCCGGATGGCATGCCTAAATTTGCCCAAGACACCAGGCCCAGTCCCACGTCCCCACCAGTTAAGGGGACCTAAAAATCTAAAAGGGCTTCTAGTAATATTCCCATCCCACCCTCTGTGTTACTTGGGGCTAGTGGGTTTCAAAAGTGGGCACCTCCCTGGTCAGCCCAAAACAACTTCCCTGGACTGTTTCCTACCCTCCCAGCCCTGCCCCCAGTGTTTTCAGCCTACTCTGGATTTCCAAGTTTAGCTCAACAATCACCCTCCCAGTTGGTACCCCCTTGGTACCCCCTAGCAGCCATACCACCCTGCAGCCCAGGACTGGTTGCCCACTGAAGCTAAGCAGGGTTGAGCCTGGTCAGTACCTGGATGGGATACCTCCTGGGAAAACTAGGTTGCTACCTCCTGGGAAAACTAGGTTGCTGCTGGAAGAGGTGTTAGTGAGGCTAGCAGGGGGTGCTCACCCTGTGGTCTGTGTGGGTCCTAACACCCCAGTGTAGTGACGGGGACACTATACTGACAAAAAAAGCACAGTCATTCGGATGAGACGTTAAACCGAGGTCCTGACTCTCTGTGATCATTAAAAATCCCGGGATGTCCTTCGAAAAAGAGTAGGGGTGTAACCCCAGTATCCTGACCAAATTTGCCCATTGGCCTCTGACCATCATGGCCTCCTAACCATCCCCATATCTGCTGATTGGCTTCATCACTCTGTCTCCTCTCCACCAGTAAGCTGGTGTGTGGTGGGCATTCTGGCGCAATATGGCTGCCGTCGCATCATCCAGGTGGATGCTGCACACTGGTGGTGGTTGTGGAGATTTCCCCCTTCTATGTAAAAGTGCTTTGAGTGCCCAGAAAAGTGCTATATAAATGTAAGGAATTAATTGGTCTTTGCCTGGTGAGGATGCCTGGAGGCGTCCGTTTTGGGGAGGGTACTGTCAGGGTCCTGCCCTGACAGCCTTGTCAGTCTTGTCTTTGTTTAATGTGTCTTTGTTTATTTTGTGCCTGAGCACATGGCTGTGTCTTTGTTTGTGTTGGCCATGTGCTCCTCTTGTCATGCCTCCTCGTTTTCAGTTATCATGCCCCCTTGTTTAGTACTTGTTTGTCTAATTGTATTCACTTGATCCTCGTGTACTCTACTCCCTTTATATTGTGCTCATTTCCCTCTTGTCTTTGCTGGTTTGTTTTGTGTGTGCCCTGTGTGCATTCTCCTTGCTTGTGTCTTTAAGGCCATGTCCTCACGTACACTGGTATTTTTATAAATGGAGTTTTTCCTTCTTCCGTTTTAAAAAAATCTCAGTTCACATGAAAACACAAATGCATGCTATGAAGCACTGTTAAGAGCATGCCAAACCAACAGGTGGCCAAATAATCTCAACCGTAAAGCCATGTTGGCCAATCAGAAGCCTGAAAAAGTTTCCAGTAGTCGGAGATAACGGTGCATGCTCTGACGTCACAAGCCAAAAACTCCGGTTTCGCTGTCTAAACGATAACACTGCAACCGGAGTTTTTGAAAATCTTCACCCTGGCAGGCATTTTCAAAAATGTTCGGTTTCAGTGAACTGGTGCTGCTCTTGCGTGTGGATGAACGGCCTAACTGCGTAAAAAAAGCTGCGGTTTTAAAAATAACCGTGTGTTACCGTTCGTGTGGACAGGGCCTGAGTCTTGTTAGAGCTTGCTATTCAGTATATTACATCCAGTCTAGTTTTGTTTTTTCTCTCTTGTTAAATTCTAGTTTTTATTTGTTCCTGTGTTTAGTCTGTAGTCTAGTTCTAGTCTTTATGGTTTAGTTCTTTATTTTTAGTTCTTCAACCTTTTGATTTTGTCCTTTATTTTCTTTCTAGTTTGCAACAAGTTTGCTGTCTTGTCTTTGTTTATTTCGTTTGTAGTTCTAGTCATTTTTCCTAGCATTTTTATTTTGTTATCCTAAGTTCCAGTTAATTATTTCTAGAATTAGTTTTATTTATTTATTTTAAGTTTTATCTCTTGTTTATTCTCCCTAGTCATAGTTTTTGTAAGTTTTGACTTGTTACTTTTACTTATTGCCTGTCTGTAGAGATGGGCAGATGAAGCCTTTTGAAGCCAGTAACCCCAGCAGACAACCAGGGCAGAGCTGGAGGGAAAGACCAAGGAGACTCCTCCCTGATTCGTTCCTCCAGCTCCACCTTGGCCTCCTGCCCCTCCCTGGTCCCTCTAATGACTGTCTGGGCTTCCTTGCTGGCACTGGCTTGGCTCACCTCCCTCCCCTCATTGTCTCGGTGTTTTGACTTTTCTTGTCTTGACAAAAAATTGTGTTGGTGCTGGTCTTGTGCTGTCATGTTCCTGTCTTGTTTTTGGTGTACCTCCCTTGTTATCCTCCTCATTTGGTCCCTACTTATTCTCCTTGTGTTTGCAGTCCTGTGCCAGTTCGTCAACGTATTTAACCTGGTTGTGTCCTGCCTTGCCCTGTCTTGCCAAGCCTTATTGCCTGTCTGTTTTCCCCCTCGGGGTAGCTTTTGTTGCTGTTTTGTTTATTATTTTTTTTATTAATAAAAAGCCCATTCTCTGTACAATTGAGTCCTCGCTCCATCCCTTTACCCAAACCCAGTAAATACAAATATACTGAGGAATTTCACTGCATTTCCATATTGATCCATCATTCTATTGTATTGATCCACGCTTCAACTGATACTAATTTTTTTAGTATCTCAAAGAGTTTTGGGGAAGACAGATATTTGAGTCATGGAGAACGAAAAGCAGCTGCCAGTACTTTTCCATGGATTTTTTATTTTTTTTATTTTTTTTATTTTTTTTGCATGAAGCTTCTTTATTTTTCAGTTTTAGTCATTTTAGTACTTAAACTTATTTTATTTCAGTTAGCTGCGAAGGCAACATTTTAGTTTTTAACGATTTTAAGTTTAGGTTTTTTTATCTAATATTTAAGTTTTTATAAGTCTTTAGACAAAAATACTTTATGTGCATTTCATTTGTTATGAGGGATACGAAAAAGTGATTTTGAAGAAAAAAGGGGGGGGGGGGATTTAATTTTCTAGAATTAGTTTTATTTATTTATTTTTAGTTTTATCTCTTGTTTATTCTCCCTAGTCATAGTTTTTGTAAGTTTTGACTTGTTACTTTTACTTATTGCCTGTCTGTAGAGATGGGCAGATGAAGCCTTTTGAAGCCAGGTGAAGCTTTTGAGGCTTTTTCCTGATTGTACCAAAAAAGATTCAAAGCTTCAAAGCCTCAAAGCCAGACCCTACCAGTGACATCTAGTGGTCATCTGCAATTATAGCAGCCACTTTCAATTGATTCACACATCATGTTGATTCCAGTTTCAACACAAAAGCAATACTCAGCAATAGCAGCTGTGTCTTTATTCTGAGATTCATTGTCCACACATGAAAGTGTTACTATGTCACGATGATGCAGGGAGGGAACACCAAGCATTTCGTGTCTCCTTATAATGAATGGACGCCGCAGCACCCCCAGTGGGGGCTGATGTTGCTGCTATGCCCCCAGAAGCACC